CTTAAATGATTCCTGTGCGTATCTAGATTAAGAACATCAGCCTTAAGCGGGTGTGTTTAACGTAACAGGGCCTTTGGACGGTTAAAGGTTCAATACCGATACGCATACAGATGTTTATTCGGACACACTCGATTATCTAAACGTTTTGCCTCACAAGAATTATTTCCCTTGTGGAATTATATGGCACAGAAAACATTTGAGTAGACTCGCAATGGTCACGTGTTTACAGTTCCTTTGAAATCGTTCCTGATGAAAGTTATAAAAGAAAAGCTTATTCTCTTCTATTTTTAAGCGTTAGAATTGTATGAATAACTGGTATAATCAAGGCGGTACATCAGCAAATTATAAGTTATTTATTTAGTCAGTGAGAGCTGCTCCAGGCTAATTAGATATGTGCTCCCCCTTCCCCTCTAAAATAGGTTACCTAAGCATTCGACCAGCAGCATCAGGGGAACTGAAAATGTTAAACTGTGGCAGAACATGGCATAGTCAGGTTAGCACATTGCATAAAACGACGACTGAAATCAATCCCGTTCGAAAAGGAGATAAACTTATAAGCTCATATTGCGGAGCGAACAGTGGTAAAATGAACAAACTAGAAGCCCGTATAATTAATTCAACGCGATTACTCTTGTGATATCATGATAACTGTCATTAAATATTTTGTCTCGATTGGTGTCTGAATGATTCATGGTTCAGGGTACCAAATACTGCAGATTGTAGTTTATTGCCTACGTGTTTCGCTACATAGACCGTAGCGTTATCTGGGCTAGGTTAAGTACAAATGACGTCTTGAAGGCATTTATGTCTAACAAGCGAACAATACCAGTTTTTCAATTGGCTCATCCTGTGCAGTCGAAACGTTGTTAGGCTGACTGAGCAGAATGTTAAATAGCAAATAATGTGTGATGTTCACGTTAAAATCAATCGTATCTTTGTCATGTTGACTTGATTTTGCCTATCAGTTTTGCGATTGCGCCCCAGTTTACACTGATGACCACAGAAGATATGTATTAGTTGCACTTCCGGTTTATCATTGCTAATATATGCAAGGGCTCCTTTATCAGCATACCTAATTTGGATTGGTCGTTTTGTGTAACAGACACATTAGTCTGACTGAAAGAATGCCCTTCAGTAATGCAGCGCACTAATGGAATTGTCGGCCTGTGGCCGCAGAAAGGTGCTCTTTTATTAGGATTTTCAATTTCCGGTTGGTCTTTCCAGTGTTCACCTTATCGCAGTCTCTGCACTGAACTTTATAAGCCACATTTAACTCTTTTGGGTCGTTAATGGGCATGTCCTTTTTAAATAAAATATCCCCAAGTGTTCTGCCAGTTTTGTAGTACACCCTGAACCCCGTGTCATTAAGCACCTCGTGATACTTTGAGATACCGTGGATATGAACGGCAAAATTATCATTGGTCTATATGAACTAGCCAACTTTAAGTTTGAGCTGGGATGCAAAAGTTCTTCGTGAAGAATTTTCCTTCAATAACAGTTCTTTAGAAACGTTTGGTGAAGATGTTGAATTTCTGCGTGCAGGCCAAAAGTAATAGTGCTGATCTCTTGGGCTCGCAAGCGTATGTTTCTTCACCACGTTCCTAAGTAATCCAGGAGGACACATGACGCCGGGTGTAGCTATCGAATGGATTGTGTTGTTTTCTGGTATACGAAAGCCTCAAGTTGAAATGATGGCGTCCTCTTCACCAGTAGGTGCAGAAAGGATATAGAGTCGTTAAATTCTACTTCAGTAGTAAAGCGTATTCAGTCATTTTTATCTTGTCCATTCATGTAATTCACGAAACGTTCCAACCTTTCCAGTTCGTCCTTATTTAGGTGGAATAATAGAAAAATATAATAAACGAATCAGACATATAAAAGGGGTCAAAATTCTGGCAAGCGTGCCTTAAAGTCTACACCTACAAACCTTGCATAAGGCAGACTGTGATTGGCTAAAGCAACTCTCACCAGAGAACCTGTCGGAATGCTACGTCAAGTGGTAAATATTGTTCGCGAATTTGAAACCCATTAATCACAGGCCAAAGATTGTCATTATTTCCTCAACGCTACAATTTCTTAG